TCTGCACATGGATACACTCAAAGGGAAAGGTGATTAGAAAGTGTAGTCTTGAGCTGATCTGTATCTCTTACAGAATAAGGGACAAATGGATTGTAAAAGGAAACAATGAGAAGTCTTCTATAGCCCAGTGCTCTACTCATCCACATGTGAGTGAATATCCTTCTTTCTATTAAAAAAAAAAATACCTACTTTCTTTTCAACAAAGAAAATCTAAGTTTCATTCCAATTACTGCAACCAGTTCAAAATCCATGATCTCTGGAAAATATGCAGATCTCTACATTAAGTCTTGATGTAGTTCTTTACAATTTGGCAACCTGAAAAATGATACATTATCTTTCTTACCCTCAACCTTCTTCCCCATACAGAATACACAATATAAAGTGGTCAAAAAGGAACAGAATAACTGCAATAGAAAGTATCATTAAAAAAAAAAACAAAAAAAAAAAAAAAACAGAAGAAAACACTTAAGACTCAGTGGGCAATAACAGTTACAAAATCTTCACAAGAAGAGATAAAGGCACCTAGAAACAGCAGTGAAATGTTTTGTTTTTTGATATGTGCATCTGCAACCTCTGTTCTGTTTTCTGGGAGTTAAGCCAGATATCCTAAAAGAATCTTCTTTATCCCAGTGGAAAAATGGACTTTTCCGTGCCCACATCTGAATCCAGTAGAGTATAGTATGCCCTTCTTGGAAACTTTACAATTTTTGCAGCATTATTCCTGCTGGTGTATGTTTGGAGGTCTAAGGATTGCTTTAGAGATCATATAATATGATAGCAAAGTCCAATGGGAAAATGTGACGAGATCTTTGAGCAACACATAGTATCTCTTGCTATTGAAATACAGAAGCAATTAACTTCATTGTACCCTGTTAAGCCTCAAAAATTTTTTAATCTTCTATCAATTTAAATTATAGAACTAACAAATAAATCAGAAAAAGATAGCCTCTCTTAATAAAGTTCTATTCACTTTTTCTTCATCTTGCAAAATGATCCGTCTTATTTGAGTTCTTATTTTTGTAAATCTTTCTAAAAAATAGCAAGGATTACCAATAGTTGGGCTTTGTTTAACATTTTTCTCTAGCAAAGTATATCCAGGCCCATAGCCTACTTTCCAAATTGTCACAGGTAGTGGCATAACAAGGACCTCAGTTATCTACCCTAAAGTATTTTTTATTTGCACCTTCCTCCCTCCAACTAAGCTACTGCCCTGAAGTTTGGGATTTAAATGGCATTTCCACATTTCTACATAATGATTTTGGTATTCATCTAATGTATTGTAACAGAGACTCAAAATTCAGTGATTCAAATAGTATTTTTAAATGTATTTTTCTCTTAAAAATCCCTGAGGCAAGCGGTAGTGTAAAGTAAGTGTGCTTCATGTGATCATTTAGAGGAAGAGGTACCTCCCGTGCTGCAACTTATGATGTCTTAAGGCATTGTCATTATTTGCATGGTAGACACTAGATCATCACACTGAATGCCTTGTATCAATTGAGAAAGAAAAGGTGCACAAGCCGAGGATGAGGAGATTATTCTTAAATGGGAAAGGATCTTGATTTCCACTCCTATCTCTGCAGACATCACATATGATCTAATTTAGTCACAAAGGCACGTGTAGCTGAAGGAGTGGCACAGTTAGATGAAAAGGTGTATTCACTATTAGTGCAGCTATTTGTCCAAGTAAACATTTATCTGTGGAAGAAATGAGAAGCTATATTTTAATAATCTAAGGTATAGACTCTAGCAGAGTCCATTTTGATGATTATACATCATTTTCCATTATCCATTATCTTACAAATATCCTATATGTTCTCTTCTCCCTTTTTTTAGAATTCTGTTAAAATTCCCTCTTGGTGTGTATGTATCACTTATGATAGACAATAACCGTGCTTCTCTATCATATTCTCTCCCACTACTGTTCTTTTTCTCTCTCTTATCTTAATTAAAATAAAAATTGAGAAACATATTAATGCCACTAGATGCTGTTACAGAGCTACTGGTCTTCACACAGCACACTTTGGAGAACATGATCAGAGGCTTACTCACAGAAAATGTATTGATGATGACAAAGGCAAGGATAAGCTTCCCTCAATGCCAGCATTTTCCTCTACATTGCTGTAAGTGGGAATGCTGCTTATTATTTTCTTATGATGGTCACTTCTTGATCCTTTAAGAAATCAATATAACAACTCTCAGGATTTGGCTGTACCTATAAGAGGACTCTGAATTGGGTTGTATCATTTCTTTCATGACAAGTATGTAAAAGAAGAGATACACATCCAGATTCCAGCCAATCATGTTAGCCCTCTACAATCTCAAATCATTAGAAGGATGGGGAAAACACATCACCATATGTTTTTCAGACACTTTGAATGTAAACACGTTGAGCAGTGTGAGCTGAGCTAGGCAATTTTTTTTTAGCTTCTTCACACTTAAATTGAAGTTCATGCATTATAAATTGCCTTCAAGGGAGATAAGGATGACCAAAGTCCTCTCTACCTCTCTTTTTATCTCTAATATATAGACTTTTCTTTTGTTGTTTCCCTTCCTTTACTATCAGTAAAATCAAAAGTACTTAATGAGACCCATGGAATCACTTTGAGGGTTAATGACAACCACATTTGGAGAACATGTAATTTTAGGCCCTTCTTGTACTTCCTTCCATCCTAACCCTCTGGCATCTATCTCCTACCTTCAGCCCTTACAGAATTTGGTATGTGATATTCAGCCATTGTCTTGATATACTTTCATATACTTAAAACAAATTACTGACATTGAGATAACTTATAAATTAAGACTGATATGGGGGGGGAATGATTGATATCTAACTTTAAACTAAGAAGTGGATTTGAAGGAAAATATAATGTATCATCAATACTTATATATCTCTCAGTAAGATTAGAAATATATGAATTAGCCCAATACAAATAAAATTACAATAATTTTTACTTTTGCATGTTATTTTTTTAAATTGTGACTTGCTTTTATTAGGCTACTCATTTAAATGGTGTCTGATCTTCCTATGAGCAATTTATTCTATTGCCCTATAAATACCCACTGAGCAGCTGTTACGTGCCAAACATTGTTCTAGAAAATCTGCTTGAAACAATGAGAGCAAGTGAATAAATGAGAGCCCAATTTTCTATACCAAGAACTTTATATTCTAGAAGTGGGCAATACCCAATAAATGAATAAGCAAATGGGTGTTTGTGTGTTTGTTTATATAATATGAATGGTGGTGATCAATGAATGCTAAGATGGGCAAAGCAGGGTAGGGGTGGGTGGGTCCTAGTCTAAACAGATTGATCAGTGGACTCTAAATAGATTGATCAGGAAAACCTCTCATAAGTGACATTTGAGTGAGCTCTGCAGGAATCAGAAAAGGGACACTTGGATATTTAGAAAAAGCATGTTTCAGGGATGAGAAACAGCAAGTGAAACAGTTTTGAGACACTAATGTGTTTGTCAAGTTCAGAGAACATCTAGGAGCCCACTGAACCCTGAGTAGGGTGGGTGAGCAGGGAGAAAGAGAGCATGAGGTCTGAGAAATACTAGGGCAGGGTGGGGGCAAATGGTGTAGGGAAAATAAGAAGTTTTTTCTTTTTCTCCTAAAGAATATGGGAAGCTATTGATGAATTTTGAGTAGAGAGCTAATATGATCTAACTTACTTCTATAGGAACGACTTTGCTACATAGATAGTAGAAACAGAGCAATCATTACATAGAGACCACTTAGAAAGATAGTGTACTCATTTAAATAAGAGATAGCAATAACTAACTCAGTAACAGCTGTAGATATGTTTAGACATGTTCAGATTCTAGATATATTTTGCAAGTAGAAGTGAATTTGCTCTTAGATAGAACATTCAGACCAGATGAGACTGTCTAGGGAGTAAGTATGAATACAAAAGAGAAGCATTCTAATAACTGAGTTCTAGTGATCACCAGGATTAAGTGATAGGAAAAATGAGAAGGTACCCATAGAGAAGAATGAAGAAATAAAGTTATTAGAAGACCCATGAAAGAGGAGATCTCAGAAGCAAGTGAAATGTCTGCAGAATCATGAAATAATCAACTGTGTTAAATGGTGCTAAAGTAAAATGAACACTAAGTCTTGACCATTGAATGTGAAAATGTTGAGATCTTGTCAAAAGCTGTTTTAGTGGAACAGTGGAATGACAGCCTGATTGAGCATCTTCAAATGCATATGGAGGAACAGTCAGTGAAAAGAGTAGAGTCACTTCTTTTCAAGAAATGGGATAGTTAGTTGCTAGAAGGAGATATGTGGGTGAGGGAGAGATTTTTAAGGATAAGAAACACATAAGACTCTGGGATGCTAGTAGGTATTATGCCTTAAACGGGGAAGCTGATGCTGCAGGAAACAGTGAGGACAATTGTAAAGGGGTAGGAGAATGGATCATGGGGAGAGTGTGCTTTGAGTAAGAAATGAAGGAAGAACATCTTTTTGACAGTTATTGAAATGTGGAAGCATCTAGCAAAATATTGGGTGAAACAAAATAGCTTATATATTTGGGGAGTGCACACACGTGATGTGAAAGGTATGGAGGGGAGTATAAATACAGTTTAGTGTTTCAACGTGAAAAAATGATGCATATTTCTTAAGATAACAGCATTAAAAGTCATACATGATTCACCAGATTGTCATCCTAGCGAGCACTTTTTCTTGGAAAGAGACCTTTTATAACTCTCCTCTTGACAAATTCTGAAGTGTTACACTTGTGTTTTAGGGGAGGTCTGATTTATCAAATTGGAGGATAGAGATAAAGAAATACTGAGGTGGCATTTAAAAAAATCATAGCACTCCTTGTCAATAACCTGTGTTTTTGTTACTGAAGATTTATTAAGAATTGTGTTTTATGCCTTGAGGTTCCTGGAATATTACCTCAGCACGCATTCTGCCTGCAAAGTCCATATAAGTTTCTGGGTTGAGTCTTCCTAATTATAGTAACATTGATTGCTGTCTAAATTTGTTGCAGTGTGCCTGAGTACTATGACTATGGTCATGGAGTAAGTGAGGATGCCTATGACAGCTACGGTAAGACCTTTTCTTTACTAAAATTGTGAAATCAGAACATCCATCAGTCACTGACAACTCAAAAATTATTTCCATCTTTCTCCCCCTGTTTTTCTAGAAGTCTAGACTAAATTGATCTATGTAATTCCAGGGTGAGATTTGACTTACACAGCTAGTACCAGAAAATTAGACAGATCAATTTTGATCAAAATTGTAAAAGCAATTAATCACAATCATAAATCATTTTCAACAGCAACAGTGATCATTCTGAATAGTGTCTTATATGTTTAACTATGTTCATTGTCTGACTCATTGATTTGGCAACAATATCGTGTCTTTTCTGCTGTCAAAAGATCTCAGAGTCATATATATTTGAAATATTTATAAATTTAAAGGCAGAAATTGTTATTATAAAGTAACTCTCAAATGATTTTTCTAGCATGCATAGCCAAATAATGCTTGGCTCATAAGAACTGATAGTCAATAAGGATGCCAGTCTATAAAATTAATTCATTTAAAAAGACATTCCTTAATTAAAATACTACTTAAAATCATATTCAGTTAAGATCTATTGAGTTTCTAAAATATATTAATACAGTACATCATTTTTGAGACATAGTTTGTGATTCCTTAAAATACATACATGGCATCACCAGATGACTACTTTGAAAAATGACACTCATTTAAATATTTATAGTCTTGAATTTTTATTAAAATAATACCAAGGCTGCTGGGCATTGGTGCATGCCTGTAGTCCCAGCTACTCCAGAGGCTTAGGCAGGAGGATTGCTGCAGCCCAGGTTCGAAGCTACAATTGTGCAATGATCGTGCCTGTGACTAGCCACTGCGCTCCAGCCTAGGCAAGAGTGAGACTCAGTCTCTAACAAAGATAGATAAATTAAATAATACCAAGTTCACTGTGTTCCTCTCTATGGGGAAGAGTAAAGGAGACTACGTTTGGCGCTTCATAGAATGCTGATCAGGATGGTGAAGGGCACGTCCTTATGTGGAGAGGAAAGGAGGAAAAATACCTTCCCCTAAACCAGTCATAAACTAACACAAGGTGAAGCCCGGAAGTAGGAAGAGAAAAATAAGCCACCACCATAATTATTTCCAAGCATAAGCTGATTACAGACATTTTGTATTTATTTCTTTATAACAAATTGAAATATTCAGTATTTTAATCTCCATTTTTATGAGGAAACTGAAAAAAAAGTTCAAGTCAATGTGAGAGTTGGCTATGAGGCTCAGCTCTGTTCTTATATTCTCATCAGTGGTTGGAATACCTATTAATTGATGCTACCACACATGGAGTACCTATTATGGCTCTGTATTAAGCATTTATGATGCGTATTAGTAATTGTAGAAGTAATCCTTATAGAAATTTACATCTATCTATTTGTATACTCTAACCCCATTAGAATCCTCTAGAGAAGGATGGGAAACAGATAAGACTTTGGAATGCATACTTAGTTTCTCATCTGAAAAATGCAGATGACAATATAAAAGACTCAGAGCATTAAGTACCTTGCCTTAGTTCAACAATGTGCCAGTGACAGAACAAGAATATGAATTCAAAGTGTGTTTTATTTATTTATTTATTTGGTTGGTTGGTTGGTTGGTTGGTTGGTTGGTTGGTTGGTTTATTTTGTCATGAGGCAGGAGTAGGGTTCAGTAAACTTGGTAAAATATTAGGATGTGGTACTTTAAACCTGAGTTTGTTTAAAGGAAGGATGTTCAGCTTCCTTTTTACATCCTGAATCTTCCTTCCTAAATTAGGATTTCTTAAAATGCTATCACTTGCTATTTCACTATTTTAAGGGGAAGGAGGTCTTTTATACTATTTTACAGGAAAAAATAAATAATTAATCCAAAATGAGCACCAGGCTTACTCTCTACCAAATTCAGGTTTCTCTAGCACTAACCAAATTAACCCTAATCTTTTGCTGCTATGGGAGATAGAACTATTTTCCAAAACAAATTAACATACTTTTCAGAAATTATTTCACAGAAATATAAGTGATGAACAAGTCTGCACATATGTGGCTCAGTTGGTAAGCTGCTTTAGAAAGTATAGCTTTAATTTTGTTCCTTATGTATTTTCCATTTATTGGAAGGAAGAGGTCAGAGGCATCAGATGGTATTTCATAAAAACACTAACCCCTATAACCCAGGATGTCTCCAAAGCCACACCAGGGGGCCAGCCAGGCTGAGATGTGAGACTGCCTGGGACCTTAGAGCATCTACACCTGTCCGTGTAGCACTCTTTGAGTTCAACACAGTAATAACTATATTTCTCTTGTTCTATGCACATTCTTAATCACATAGGAATCAGGCCAGAGCCTTGTACAACTGGTTACTCAGGATGTGCCATGAATAAAACACAAACTCGACCTTTCTTTGATTCACTGAAAATTTGCATATAGGTATTGATGCACATTTGTACAAGGTGGACATTTAGTGTTGAGGAACTTACACCTACATATAAAAAAATTGCACCAGATTTTAAACCATGTTATGTAATAATTTATACAATTCCCGAGAACATTACTCATTTAACAAATATTTACTGAATGGCTAACACATGTAAGGCATTGTCCTCAGTCTCAGAGATACTGTAGTGAACAATATCTCCAAGCTTACAAGATATTGTAGTGAATAATATGAAAAGGCATATTATTATTTGTAAGTAATGACTTTTTGAAAAATTGAATTTTTACTTGCAAAATACAGTCATTTTTTACATTTGATACATCAGTTTGAGGAAACTCATGCTCATGGGCTTTACAGAATTACATGCACTGAAATCAATGGAAAGGATAAATTTGATTATAATTGGCAGGATACTTGGTGATAAGAGATGAGATTTCTATTTCTGAATTATTTACATTTTGAAATGTCAATACCATGTAATGCTATTGAAAAAAGTGTGTAATACAAACTATTGCTGCTAATGCCTTTTAATGGAGATGCAGGGGCTGTGGTCAGGAGGGCCAGGACTCACCTCTATAATCCCGTGAGTCTTACATTGTACTTTTTGTAGTCTGGTTCTCTATCTGTAGCAAAGTCTACAGAGAAATGATTCACTTTAGGAGCTCTACCTGCCCATAAGCACTAAGTTTCATTCGTGGCCAAATAACCATTTACCAACAAGAAATTTTCTGCACATAAAAAGTAGTCAATAAATTCTTCATAACAAAGTAATAAGGAAAATATAGAAAGCGATTTGACTGAACAAAATAAGGAAGATATTAATTAGACAGCAATTTTCATCTAATACCTTTTATTTACCTATTTTACTAAGTTTTATTCCTCTTTTTGCATAACCAAAGAATAAAGTACTTGCTGTAGATCCATATCATCATAAGATTTGAATTTTAAGAATCCTCATGCTCTCACATCCTATGCAGGCAACATAGCAAGAACAAAGTCAGAGGACAAAGAATAGTAAGAGCTCAGCACCATAACCTTGCAGCCCAATTAATATGTACTATGTGCACTCAGATTGTGGTATTAGGTATTATGTAGTATATTAGACACTAGGTAGTCAGTGATAAGTTGCTCATAATAAAATATACAAATGGGCAGATGATAAAAGGTAAATATATACACTGAGCAGTAATTTGAGGAGCCACAAAAGTCAAATATCGATTTTCATTAACTGTCCATACTTCACATATTAACTATTACCCATTTATAGCTCATCTTTAATCAATGGTATACAATTTTTAAATCAATAATGGTTATTCAAAAATGCAAATTTCATATCTCCAGTTATTAATTCACTTCCATTCTAGATCACTAGCTCCTCTCTGTTACACTGTGGTTGTATCATGGGTGCAGGTACAAAATTCCAATGGAATGTCTGTATTTTTACAAAACTAATAGCCTCAATTTTCACCTGGCAAACCCCCCACCCCACCAAGACTTGGAGAGTTATGTGAGGAGCCTTACAGTCATTTCTCTCAGACACATTCTTTTCCGGCTCACACTGGCTGTAATAACTGTGGGGGCAAGTGAAAGACTGGGAAGGAAGAAGGAATGCTCTCCTGAATGACAGGGTCTTGCATTCAAAAGACTCATATATGGAGCTTCTCATTTAGACTTCCTCCAGAAATGATTTAAAAGAAGTTAGCAGAAATAAAAATGAAGTCCTTCAGTGAGACACTTCATTCTGAATCTTCATACTTTATGATGTTTTGTGTATAAAAACTGAATTGTATTTGTCTTTTTTGGGCCTATATTTTGTCACTGAAATAATAAATATGTTGATTTTGAGAAAATAATATATTACTTTAGGTTTTATCATAGTTAAATTATTCAGGATATTTGCCGATAACTTAATAAATATTAAACTATCTTGCTGATAATGTAAATATAAAATTTAAATGTTAAAATTTCAAATGGATTTTATTACAATATAATTATCTTGATTATAAAAATTAATGTTTAATGCATTGGTATTTATTAAATATTTAATTAATTTTAAATTGGCTATAAATTAATATTTAAATATTACATTTCTGATAACTTGAATTTGTTTTTGGAGCATGAATATTTGACTTACAGGAATTCCAAATCAGTTTCTTCATTTTAAAAATATTTTCTAATTTATCAGAATCACTATAATTATTTCAGATGAGTCTGAATAGCTTATAATTCAGTAAGGCTGCATTTTAAATACAGTACCTACATTAGCTTAGCTAAGCAATGCTTCACATAAAAATACCCTCTAAGTTCTCTTTGAGATTGATAGCTAAGAATGGACAGCAATATTCTCTTCTTGAGAAAAGAGCTATTTATTAATATGTATTTAAAGTATGAACTGAAGAGCTAATTATGCATCCATTCTTTAGTGGCATTTTAGATGACAGCTGTGTGGAAGCAAAGAGGATAATATTAATACACTATCTTGAAATGAATGAAAGCAAAAAGAAATTTGTGCCATATTCTAGGGCATTTGAGTGCCTCACTTCAAGTCAATTGCAGAACACGAATGTATTCATTTTGTGTTAAGGAGC